TCAAGGTACTGCTATAATATAAATGCTTACATATATTTCATACAGTTTCTATTTGGGGGGTTTAAAGGGTTAGATCAATTAAATTCAAACCACCATTATTAATATGACTGATTTTCTTATAAAATGAGTTCATAAAAATTGTATTAAGACCTCTTTAATTATTTTACATGTGGGCTTATCCACAAAGAGAGATTTAGCTGTTTCTGTTTCTGAATAGCATTTTAACCATTCTACAGAACGAGTCGCCAAAGCCAACATTTTCAAGAGCCTGAAATAAACATGCATGCTCCAGTGTATCAAAAGCTTTGTGATAATCTAAAAAGGAAAATAAAGCCATCACTATTAATATAATCTGATTAGTCCATCATGTCTAATACTAGCCGTGTGTTATTAGAAATATGTCTTTTCTGCATGAACCCTGACTGTGTTTCGTCAATGACATGTTTGAATATTTTTGCCAAAACTGAAGCTAATATTTTATAATCATTGTTCAGCAGTGTGATTGGACGCCAACTATCGGTTTATCAAATGCAGAAGTGTGGATGTTTTTGTAAAAGGCTGTGACAATATTAGATATCTGTGCAATTTGATACTGAGAGCAGTCAAAAAATTTGTCTTTTCTCCAATGCAAAAATAATAATAACTAGAATTCATCTCTCCCTCCTCCATCCATTTAGCTCTAGACCTAACAAATGCATCTCTGGCAATATCTAGATAAGCCCGATTCATTTGTAGATGTAATTCTCTGAATTCTAGCTCTTCTACAAATCACCTATCAATAAAGAACTTATTCTTTTCTTAATTCTTTACTTCTCTGTATTTGAAAAATTCCCATTTATCTCAATATCTATTATGACTTTTATCAGAAAATACATAATGAAATATTTAATATGGTCATTGAAGATGTCGTCATTTAAGAGAGAGTTAATACATTTCCAATAACCACATAACTAGACTCTCATCATCACAACTTATTTGTTTATGATCAGAGAGGGGGGGCACACGAATGAGATACATCTTTAACAAATTGAAGAAACTAAAAAGAAATCAGTTCTAGATTTTAAGGACAGTTCACTATTTGACCAAGTGAAGTCTTGTGTGTCAGGATGAAAAAAACTGTGAGGATCTGTGAGGGAGAGAGAGGAACATATTAATAAAACATTAGTAGAGTTATGGTTAGTGTGGAGAGCTTCGTTGCTTCTAGGAGGAAATCTGTCCAGTGTGTCATCTAAACATTCATTAAAATCGCTGCCTAAAATTAGAAAAGAGCCTGAGTGTTTATTACGCACTTCTGTCAAATTACAAGTAATCTGAGAAAATAATATTGTGTTAGCAGAAAGAATTACATGCATATAAATTACATGCAGATAATAAAGATAGAGTTATCTTGCTTCAGTGACACAATGATCGATCTGCCTTGACTAGAAGTTATTACCTCCAGAATGTGCCTGTTAAATTTGTGCAATAGAATTGAAACCCCAGCAGAATTATTAGAAACCATGGCTACAATCAATTACATTTCCCCACTGATTCTTCCAGAATTTAACATCCAGCTCACAAGAGTGTTTCCTGAAGAAAAGTTCAATCAGTTTCGCAGCTTTTACAACATACAAAATGGCTTTCCTCTTTATCATAGCATGCACACCAACATTCAAAGACATAACAGAAAGTGAACTGAACTTGAAATCCATGACAAATAAAGAAAGACAAAAAAAGAAGGAATAAAGTAACAACATAACTGAAAACTCTCCTGCCTTTGTTCATCATAAAATCTGTAATCATACTTACTTAAATAACTACATCTAACATTAGTTACTGGGTAAATATTTTAACTGTAGGGGGCTCCAAAGTTTAACTCCGTAGTTGCTTGAAGCTCATTTTGAGCGTGTTTATCAGATGTGGTTAATATGAATGGTTGCTAATGTATTTTCTCCAGTATAATACTTCTTCAGTGAGCAGGGCTGGTTGCTGGTGCACTATAGCAGAGAACGTGAAAAAGGGCTCAACAGGTGTAAAAACTGAAGTTAGCATCACCCAGGTTCCCTCAACAAACACCTAGTAGAGTTTTACCATTGACTGATATATTACACTGATTAATTGACTGATTACATGTTTTGTTCATCAAGATAACCTTTGTAAACACAACTTCTATGAATTCTGAAGCCTAAATTAGAAATGCTAAAACATTAACAACAGTATTTTCGCACAACTTCGATTTGACTAATATTAAGCTTTCCACTGAGATTGTTGTATTAAACTATAACACAGATGACTAAATTAATTTTAAACGCCTGGTATAAACATTTACATATTTGGTTGCAGGTGTGCTGGCCAGTGTGAGAAATATAGACAGTTTCCTTAAAGATTTGATTGACAGTTTGGTTTTTTCCACTGTATAAAAAAACAAACCATTAATTTAGCAGGTACAAGTCTCAGTTTTTATGTTAAGGTCAGCTGACAAATGTGACTTGGAGTGCAATTTTAAAGTCAAATCAACTCAATTAAACTAATAAAAAGATAGTCCTGTACAGTTTTGTGTGTATATATATATATATTAAATGCAGGACTAAATTCTTCTCCTGAAAGAATTTCTTCAATGATTTTATCTGTCTGCATCACCACGCTTTAAATTTCTTTCCTGTTCAAATGTTTACCCGGACTGCTTTTTCCCCCAATCATTTTATAATTGAAATATTTGCATGTTTCATGTGACGTGTAGCAAATAAAATCATGCACATATATTATTGTGGCAGCTGTGAAGTCAGTCTAGAAAACACAGCACAGAGATTCACACACATCCAGAGAGACTGGACATTCACTCTTCAGGTGATAAACTCTTCTTTTAGATTAAATTTCTTTGTTTTAAACTGAACTGAACAGACACAGAGGAGATGAGTAACTCTACAGTGAACTTCACCTCACCTGAAACATCTACAAGCTCCACAACTCTATCTATTGGGCTGACAGACTGTCTGGAAATCTGTGTGTACAGCATCAATTTCATGGTTGGTTTTCCCACACACTGCTATGTTGCATGGCTCATCGTCACAGGAACCGGAAGTGGAGTTACATCAGAGTTCTTCAACCTCAACCTCTCCGTCTGTGAGATCGGTATCTGTGTGAATTGTTTGTTTTTTCTCTTTTTTTTTATTTCAAGCATCACAGAATTACCACTGTTTTTACTAGGACTAGTCTTCGCTGGCCGTCCTCTGTTTCAGTCTCTGATATGTATGGAGCGCTACCTGGCAGTGGTTCATCCTGTAACCTTCCTGAAGTACAAACCTCTCAGATATCGAGTGATCTGCTGCACTGTGGTCTGGATCAGCACTCTCGGCTCCTGTCTGTGCTGCATGTTTAGTTCAATCTCAGACATCGCTTACGTATATATATGGTTCTTCTCACTGCAGTTCCTTGTCCTCTTCTCCATCCAGTTGTTTTGTCTTCTGGCTGTTCTCAGAGCTCTGAAGCAGTCAGGACCAGGAGAGAGAAAGAAGGAAAACCCCATGAAGAGAAGAGCGTTTCATCTCATTCTAATAACCTCTGTTAGCATGCTGATCATGCATGTGCTGTTGATTATTACAGGATTCTATAGCATTCTAATTCAGAATATTCAAGCACTTTGGTTCATTTCTGTGATCTGTTATGCGCTGGCTGGTTTTGTTCAGCCTGTTCTTTATCTGCACCGAGCTGGAAAACTCTCCTGCATCTGTTCTACATAAAACTGCTTGTGATCGTTTACTCAATTCTGTACCTAAACACTAATTTAACTATCAATTGATTAATAATTTGACACTATATTTATACTTTTATTACAATATGGGAAAGTTGTAATTTCAATGTTTTTAGAATATGATTCATTGCTTCTTTTAACTGTTCCTGTATGAACAATTTTTGTGTCACATTAAGAAGTCTGTGTAATTGTACCATTTTTGTGGTATTGATGCTACTTGTGGCTTTTGTGATGTAAAGTGGCTTGGAACATGTTAGTGTGATAGAATGTGTTTATCAGCTTTTTAATGATTGATATTCATCAGCGACCGAGTGCCACCTTGCTTAAAATTTACATCCCATCATAATAAAGAGGTGTAGAGTATTTTCATTTTGACATGCATGCTCATAAAATTTCCATGTCTTGTGTTGAATGAGTGTATTTGGGAAAGCTGAACATTCACTTTTCACGTGGTAACTTCTGGTTTACAGATGTAATTGGCCATTGAGATATATCTATAATTTAAGCTTTTATGGTGAGAGAAAAAACAGTTTTCCTTCCCAGAGATACCCTAAAGATACTTTTATTTTATTTTAAAAAACATTAAAAATTGTCATATTTCATGTTTAATGTGACGCGTGGCAAATTAAGATAAGAAAAAAAAAACGTTTAAAAAGTAGCTACATTTTTAGGCTGGTCTTCCTCAGCAGTTTAAGCGCTCGTCAATGTCAAACTGATAGAGACGGCCAATCAAATCAAAGTAGGCGGGGTTTGCTGTTCACAGAAGCAGAGCACGGATTCGCTCGAAAATTGTGTTGTTCTAAAACTGTATGATTTTTCTTTTGCGGAACACAAAACATCCAAACTGATGCTTTTACTGTTGCAAAAATAAACAATAATCAACAGTTATTCAAAATTGTTTTGAGATTTCTTTTATTTTTAAAAACTGCATAAAACTTGTACATACAACTGTACTTCAGGACTTTTGAAACCATTTCCATTAGGTTTGTGTGAGAAACAGACCAACAAGTGAATCATTTAGATTTGTGTCAGATAAAAATTATAATAATATACATATAGAAAATGTTCATGGTTATTACATGATGCATCATTTCATGTTTGCCAGAAGGGGACTTTATTTATTTGGGGGTCTCATTCGGGCCTTTACCCTCTTTTGATACTCTCCCACCTGCCAAAAGCATGTGAAACACAGCAGTGCCGTGTAACTCTAACACTATTACTAGCCACTTTGACAGAAAGCACCTGAAGTAATCAAATCAAATGTGTGCACTGGAAGAAGAGTACTGTATGTGAGTAGAGTGCCAGAGCATTCTGTAAGCGCTCTGGGATTTCCATTCATCGCTGTTCCATCGCTCTCCGCTCACTGAGTGAAACCCGCTTCAGCTTTGCTCCACAGCAAAGTTCAGGCCCAGTAACTGCTCCACTGTCTCGTTCATTCAATATTTCTAAAAATATATCAGAAACATCTTAGCACAAGATGAATTGCACAAAATCACATAAAGACATATAGAAATATGACATATGACATATGACAATTTAGACTGTTATTCTCTCTATATATATGGTAAGACAAGGATGATTAGTCGCAATATGGCGGGTGAGGTTTAATTTTTAATTTAAAAACTGCCATCAGTGTTGTATCTTGTCATTAGGGCAGGTACCCATACAACAACAGAGAGTAACATTCGATCGTCATTTAAACACCAACAGCGCGGAATCCTGAATTTGTGGAAGTGAATTTATAAAGTGAAATAAAATGGATCGAAATTTGACTGTTAAGGTATTTTTAAACAAACTGAATATTTTGGAAAGGCACTTTGGATGGTCAGTATGGATCGTTGAATTTTTAATAATGAAATGTTTTCTTTTAACATTTTCACAGCTTAAATATACAACCATGTAAAAAATTTAGCCACCAAAATGCAAGCCCTGATATTACAATGTATTAAAATACAAGAACTGTTAATGTAATGCTAATTCTTTAAAACATGTTTTTTTTTTACGTTTGTATATTAGGTTTTAAATACATTTGTCATGCTTATACTTCTGTTGGATGCGTACAGTATTACATCTGTGCTAGTTTGTTTGTCCTTGCTTAAAATATTGACATTTAAAAAAAAATTCACTTTCTTTGCTCAATCATTTGTTGGCTTAAAGTTGGCATGAAACTATTGTGATGATATCTGAGTGAAATGGCCTCTTGAACAAGAAAAAAATTAGGGTGGGTCTTGATTTTGTGTTTATTCACTTCTGCACTATGCTTTTCAGTAACTTCTGTTTGTTTGTTTTTTTCTTGCTGAAAATTGCATTGTGATGCAGTTTTATTTAATAATGGAATATTCAGTGTGCTTTTTAGTAATACAGGTAGAACTAACATATTTTACAAACTGATTAAAGCAGTTCTGCCATATAGCATTTCACTGATCTTTATTTTATTTCAATTTAATATATTTTGGAGTATGCTGATGTACTTTTTAATGTAAACAAGGAATTTATTTTTGCAATGTACACTATCACAACAAGATATAGTAGAGAACATTAAAGTTTTCCAGTTTTCAAAGCGTGTCTTTCAAACATTTATTTTTAATGGTTTTGCAATTTTAAATATATTAACAGTGGCAGCTGTAGTGTACCGGTAATACATTTCTAATGACCTGATGTGTTATTAAAAATGTTCTTGTTACACATCAACGTGAAGCCTAAAATATATTCTAGCTCTAGTTCAAGTAGTATAAAAGCACTTCAAAATGAACAGCGAGCAAATGGTTTGATGGATTCAAAGCTTTAAAAAGGTTTGTTTCGCACATCAATACAGCATCAAAGTACAACAATTTATGAGAAAAACGAAACAAAAGAAATTATTCCAAACTCGCGTTATAGCATAAAAAGAGTGTTTGAAATAATTTCTTTCTGTGAACTGATGTGGTTTCTTATCACAAAACATAGCAGAAATTATATAATAGTATTATATACAGTGATAAAGGCTATGATGATTAGCACTCCATTATAAATAAACATTATCCATTTGAAAAATACCAGAGATGGCTTGAAGATAGGGTTGCAACTAACGATTATTTTGATAATTGATTAGGTGGCCAATTATTTTTTCGATGAATCGAATAAAAAGCCTTTCTTTTTCTTTTTTTTATTGACAAAATACACTATTCCACATGCTGCCCAATGCTGTCCTTCAAACAGACGTGCCAGCTGAATACTATAAACATACTGTATGGTGAATATATATTTCTATGCTATACATTCTGTGCAAAAAGAGTTATAAAGCACAGTTTAAATGGAGAGTTTAAATAGACAAATGGACAAAGGACAGTTTAAATCCCTACACTAAATATGGAGATAATAATGACGATAATAAAGGAAAACACAAACTCAGTGTTGACAGATTAGAGGCATGTTCTGCATGAACACACACATTCACTCTGAATACATTAACCTGTTAGTGTAATTTCTTTATTCTGTAAATGTAAGGAACGTCTTTATATTCAATTACACGCTGTTATCCTTTAACAGTTACTTTTCATAAAATGCTTGAATTACATGTTGACTTTTAAACCTAAATTTAACATCCAATAACAGAAATTTCAGCAAAATGAATATTTTTGCGCTGCATATTAATTTTCTCCCTCTCTACTGCGTTCAAGTGCCGCTGCTCGTTCAGTAAATTCTGAAGTTTAACACAGTCAGGACGAGCTTTAATGCAAAATAGAAATACTTGTGTGAATATGTAACGTTTACAGATAAGGATATAACCGTAAAATGTAAGTTTTGCGCTGAGGAATCATATCACACATTAAACACACGCATCTGTAAAAGCACCTGACAGGACAACTTTGTTGGCATTAATGGAAGTGCATTAGCATGGTTCAAATCATACTTATCTGACCACCATCAATTTGTAGAAGTGAATGAAGAGGTATCATATCGATCACAAGTTCAGTATGGAGTACCTCAAGGCTCAGTACTAGGGCCGTTACTTTTCACGCTTTACGTGCTACCCTTGGGAGATATCATCAGGAAACAGTGTTAGCTTTCACTGTTATGCTGATGATACTCAGCTCTATATTTCTTCGCGGCCCGATGAACCATACCAATTTGAAAAACTAACAGAATGCATAGTCGATATAAAAAACTGGATGACGAGTAATTTCTTACTGCTAAATTCTGAATTATTGGACCTAAAACCTCCGCATGTAATAACCTAGAACACTGTCTAAGACTTGATGGCTGCTCTGTCAATTCTTCGTCATCAGTTAGGAACCCAGGTGTGCCATTTGATAGCAATCTTTCCTTCGAAAGCCACGTTTCTAGAATTTGTAAAACTGCATTTTTCCATCTCAAAAATATATCTAAATTGCAAACTATGCTCTCATAGTTCCCATAACACCCGATGTACTTGCTACACCGTTAGAAGAATGGCATCTACGCTTATATTAGTCTGTTTCTTATTCTGAGGTCACCAGATCCAGAGTGTATCCAGATCAGATGGTCACTGCAGTCACCCGGATCCAGTCCATATCCAGCCCAGATGGTGGATCAGCACCTAGAGAGGACCTCGACAGCCCTGAATGTTAGCGGAGACCAGGACAACTAGATGCGCCCAAGAGACAGATCCCCTGTGAAGACCTTGCCTCCTAGACGGCCACCGGGACAAGACCACATGAACCAGATGAGTCCTCTGCACAATGTGACTTTGCTGCAGCCTGGATCAACCTGCTGGTTTCGTCTGGTCAGAGGAGAACTGGCCCCACGACTGAGCCTGGTTTCTCCCAAGGTTTTTTTCTCCATTCTGCCACCGATGGAGTTTTGGTTCCTTGCCGCTGTTGCCTCTGGCTTGCTTAGTTGGGGACACTTAATATCCAGAGATATTGTCGACTTGATTGTACAAATACTATTTAAACTGAACTGAACTGGACGATGACATCACTGAATTCAATGATTAACTGCCTTTAACTGAAAATTGAGTGTTCACTATTGTCATTTTGCATTATTGACACACTATTTTCCCATTTAATACTGTAAAGCTGCTTTGACACAATCTGTATTGTTAAAAGCGCTATATAAATAAAGGTGACTTGACTTGACTTGACTAGATGAGATGCATGGGGAGCACATCAGCTCTGTGATGAATGTTGAAGCTTCCTCTATGTTTGAGAGTATTGTATGTGAACAAGGTGGGAAAATGATGATGTATCCTGTGATAGAGCATCCCTGTCACCACATACATCCTGTCTCTCTCTCTCTCTCTGTGTGTGTGTCTTAAAGTGCATGCTGTTGACATAGATATAAACACAGAAACAGATCTGCATTTGCCTCTCGTTTCCCATCTTTACCTCCAGACCCTCCTGTTAGACTAATTTAGTTGAAGACATTTTTGTTTAGTTGAACTAAATACTAGCTGGAAATGTAGAGATGAAGAGACAATTTGAAAATGAAGAGACATAGAAAAACACTGTGGAGATGTTATTGAATTGTATTTATTAGCACAGGGGGATTCATGCAGGCTAAAAAGTTTTTCCAAGAAAGAGACGTTTTTCAGAGATGGTTTACTTCACAGCTACAGCTGGTTCACACTGCTTCCATTGGTCAGTTAACAACTGGGCACATCCAACAAGATCCCATATTACTAAGACAATCAATGCATCGACTGAAAGATTCCGCAGAAGAAAGATGAGGGTGAGTGTGTGACAACAGAATGTACTGTTTTGCCTTTAACAAAACCTCTGATGCTCTGGTGCAACTGTGATATAAGAAGTTGAAATCACACCCAGACAATTGCATCCACAGGTGCATTAAAAGAAGTGTTTATTTCTTCCAATTAATCAAGAGTTCTGGGGCTAGTTAGAGAAAAAAACAAGGTAAGCTATGATATAATGTCACAGAGAGGGCTTGATATAGGGCATATGATGCATGATGATGGCAGGGAAGGAATGCTGTATTTATAGGTATCTGATAGCACTGAATCAGAAGTGGCAGATGGATATGATCAAAGTGCATGGAGAAGACGATGTGCTGTGTTGAAGTCCCAGTCTAAGCATTTGTTTGTTCTGTGTATGATTTTATACTGGATTAGTTATATGCTTTTGATTTTACTCAAACTGAAAGTTCTTTTGCACACTATTTTCTAGAAACCTCTGTCTGTGATGGTGAGCTCTTTTCCCCGTTGTTTTACTGGTAGTGGATGACGCTGCAGTATTTAGACGGAAGCTTGGCAGTCAGTTTTACTCAGATTGATATACTGATCTTATCGCTGTGCTGCTTGTTCTATTGTGTGTTTGTAGATAATATTGGTTTTTGGTCTTTAAATGTCTGTGCCAGCTCTTTAAATTTAATAAAGCTGTTAATATTATGAAACCTAAATTTAACATCCAATAACAGAAATTTCAGCAAAATGAATATTTTTGCGCTGCATATTAATTTTCTCCCTCTCTACTGCGTTCAAGTGCCGCTGCTCGTTCAGTAAATTCTGAAGTTTAACACAGTCAGGACGAGCTTTAATGCAAAATAGAAATACTTGTGTGAATATGTAACGTTTACAGATAAGGATATAACCGTAAAATGTAAGTTTTGCGCTGAGGAATCATATCACACATTAAACACACGCATCTGTAAAAGCACCTGACAGGACAACTTTGTTGGCATTAATGGAAGTGCATTAGCATGGTTCAAATCATACTTATCTGACCACCATCAATTTGTAGAAGTGAATGAAGAGGTATCATATCGATCACAAGTTCAGTATGGAGTACCTCAAGGCTCAGTACTAGGGCCGTTACTTTTCACGCTTTACGTGCTACCCTTGGGAGATATCATCAGGAAACAGTGTTAGCTTTCACTGTTATGCTGATGATACTCAGCTCTATATTTCTTCGCGGCCCGATGAACCATACCAATTTGAAAAACTAACAGAATGCATAGTCGATATAAAAAACTGGATGACGAGTAATTTCTTACTGCTAAATTCTGAATTATTGGACCTAAAACCTCCGCATGTAATAACCTAGAACACTGTCTAAGACTTGATGGCTGCTCTGTCAATTCTTCGTCATCAGTTAGGAACCCAGGTGTGCCATTTGATAGCAATCTTTCCTTCGAAAGCCACGTTTCTAGAATTTGTAAAACTGCATTTTTCCATCTCAAAAATATATCTAAATTGCAAACTATGCTCTCATAGTTCCCATAACACCCGATGTACTTGCTACACCGTTAGAAGAATGGCATCTACGCTTATATTAGTCTGTTTCTTATTCTGAGGTCACCAGATCCAGAGTGTATCCAGATCAGATGGTCACTGCAGTCACCCGGATCCAGTCCATATCCAGCCCAGATGGTGGATCAGCACCTAGAGAGGACCTCGACAGCCCTGAATGTTAGCGGAGACCAGGACAACTAGATGCGCCCAAGAGACAGATCCCCTGTGAAGACCTTGCCTCCTAGACGGCCACCGGGACAAGACCACATGAACCAGATGAGTCCTCTGCACAATGTGACTTTGCTGCAGCCTGGATCAACCTGCTGGTTTCGTCTGGTCAGAGGAGAACTGGCCCCACGACTGAGCCTGGTTTCTCCCAAGGTTTTTTTCTCCATTCTGCCACCGATGGAGTTTTGGTTCCTTGCCGCTGTTGCCTCTGGCTTGCTTAGTTGGGGACACTTAATATCCAGAGATATTGTCGACTTGATTGTACAAATACTATTTAAACTGAACTGAACTGGACGATGACATCACTGAATTCAATGATTAACTGCCTTTAACTGAAAATTGAGTGTTCACTATTGTCATTTTGCATTATTGACACACTATTTTCCCATTTAATACTGTAAAGCTGCTTTGACACAATCTGTATTGTTAAAAGCGCTATATAAATAAAGGTGACTTGACTTGACAATGCTAATGCATTAGCTTGAAGTTTAAAATAAAGCATTCGCATGTTTTGGGCAGCTTGGATCATGCACCTTTCCCGAAGCAGTTCACTCTGTTTCTTCCACTATTAGATTCATTTAGATTCATTTCGTCCATAGAAATGCATTATTCAGTGGTATAAATTCATGACTGACGGAAGTTTTCTGTGCACGGTGGGCAGATGCGACTAATCAATAATGACATTCGTTGTTGATGATTTTCATTATCAATTATTATACATTTTAACGATTAGTTGTTGCAGCCCTACTTGAAGAACACAGATAAACCATATACTGTTGCAATCATGTGTTACTTCTCTTCACGTTTCATCAGTCAAAACATTTCTTTATGTATTTTGTTGAGTTACAGTAAGTGATAGCTGGATGCCTTTGTCCATTTAAGAGATTTCCTGGAAAGTAATCCGTTTTATTACTCCTATGAGTATCGGTTGTGAAGTTTCTGTGTGAGGGCGCCCTCTGGTGTCGAGTATGAATGAAACAAATCACATGTGAGAGTTTAACGCTGTGTGCTTTTCTTTTAGAAATATCATGGTTATCGCCTTTAGTTATATCATTCACGACACCCCTATTTAACACGATAATGATATTTTATTTATTAAATACCACAGTTATCGTCAGTACTGATATATACTGATATATATATGATATATACACCCCCAGTAAAGAACTAGAATTAAATTACAATAACGGTACTTGAAGTGGTTCCATTTTAACACAGAATATTAAAATATATTATAAACAGCTTAAAATTGATCTTAAACTAAAGTTACGTAAAGCTGTTCCAAAACAACACATTTACAATTCACTTAATATAGTACAATTAAAATATGAAAAAGTGCATTGAAAAAAGCACAACTTAAGTGTATTTCTTTTTCACCTGAGCTTTCTCTTCTTCATGTTTGAACTGAAGATCTTCTCTCTCTCTCTGTCTTCTTTCTCTCTCTCGTTTAAGTTTCTCATAATATTCATCCCATGTTTCCTTTTCTTTCTTTATCCTTCTCTCCTCCTCTTCTTCTCTTCTTTGTCTTTCCTGTTGTTTCTGTTTTTCCCATTCCTCTCGTTCTCTCTTTATCTCTGTTTTATATCGTTCTTCTCTCTCTCTAAATTCTTCTTCTCTTCTCTTTCTCAGTTGATCATGATTCTGTCTTTCCTCATCCAACATATTCTTCATTCTCTCTCTCTCTTGTTTAAGTCTCTGATTATGTTCATCCCACATTGCCTGTTCTCTCTTTCTCCTTCTCTCATCCTCCTCTTCTTCTCTTTGTCTTTTCTGTTGTTTCTGTTTCTCCCATTCCTCTCGTTCTCTCTTCATTTCCTCTCGTATCTTTCTCTCTTGTTCCTCTATGTCTTTAATGTCTCTTTTATATTGTTCTTCTCTCTCAATAAATTCTTCTTCTTTTCTCTTTCGCTCTTTGTCATGATTCTGTCTTTCTTCCTGCATCATTCTCTCTCTCTCTTCTTCATGTTTTAACTGAAGATCTTCTCTCTCTCTCAGTCTTCTTTCTCTCTCTCGTTTAAGTTTCTCGTAATATTCATCCCATGTTTCCTGTTCTTTGTTTCTCCATTTCTCCTCCTCTTCTTCTCTTCTTTGTCTTTCCTGTTGTTTCTGATTCTCCCATTCCTCTCGTTCCCTCTTCATCTCCTCTTGTATTTTTCTCTCTTGTTCTTCTCTTTCTTTGATGTCTCTTTTATATCGTTCTTCTCTCTCAATAAATTCTTCTTTTCTTCTCTTTCTCTCTTTGTCATGATGTTCCTCCATCTTTATCTTCATCTTCTGTTTCTCTTCTTTATGTTTGTTCATCAGTTCTTCTTTTTCTCTGACCACTTGCTCCACTTTCTCCATCAGTATGTTCTTCTGTTGTTCTTGTTTTTCTCTCTCCATCTCTCTGAACATCTTACATGAGAAGTAACTCCCTCCGTTCTCTTTCACCATGTTGTCTATCTTCTGCAGTAGATCAGTCACCTGTGTTCGGTCTCCAGTCTCATTATTAAACACATGGTATCTGTTTCCACATGCTTCAATCAGGTTTTTAAGGGCAGATCCAGGTTCTCCCAGAAACTGATCAATGGTTTTGTTCTTCAGAAAGTCTCCTCTGGTGAAGAGCACTATGGTGAACATTAAAGAGTTTTCTCCAAATGTCTCTTGGATGATCTTCACTGCTGTTTGTTCTTCTTGAGTGAATCGTCCCAGAGGAATCACTAAGAGAAACACATGTGGTCCAGGCAGGATCATGGAGATGCAGTTAGTGATTTCTCTCTGGATTTCTTCATTACTGAGTTCAGTATCAAACAGTCCTGGAGTGTCGATCACAGTAATGTGTCTGCCGCTGATTTCAGCGTTCTCTCTAAGACACACTGTAGTAACAGACTCTTCAGAAAAGTCTGATATAAACACTTCTCTTCCTAAGATGTTGTTTCCAGTTGAACTTTTCCCAGCTCCAGTTTTTCCCAGCAGCACAATCCTCAGTTCACCTTCTCTTTCTCTTAAATCTAAATAAAAAGTAAAAACAAAATATTGTGTATAATTGATACCGAAGAATCATGTGTTGGTCATATTATTTCTTCTAAGCTCTGCATATGTTACTGTTTTGTCTCAAACCTGTGTAGCATTTTTCATCATGAAAAGTGTTTAATCAATACAGATTTTAAGATCATTACCTTGTGACTGAAACCACGTCTCTAATGAATAGATTCTCCTCTTCATTTCTTCAAATTTCTGCAGTTTGTCCATCTGTGTCTCCATCAATGTCTCTGTGGAGAAACAATCACCACTATTTTCCTCAACCATCTGCTCCAGTTTCTCCATCAGCTCAGACACTTGTGTGTTCAGGTCAATGATATGATGTCGTCCTCCAAATCTCTCAATGACAGACTGTGTTTCTTCATTTAGTTCTGCTGTCTGATGCTCTGGATTCTGCTTTATGAGGATCATGATGTGTTTGTTGATTCTTGAGCTGAAGATCCTCTGGATCTCCTCTATTTCTGCTTTGTCTTCATTATTGAGTGGAGCATCAGGAATGATGAGGATGAACACATGAACTCCAGGATGACAGAGAGACACACAGCGGTGAGTCTGACGCAGCACGTCCTCCTCTGAGAGCTGAGTGTTGAACAGAGCTGGAAGCTCCACCAGACTGATCAGACGTCCATCAAGCTCCACGTCTCTCCTCACACACTCTGAGCTCAGCTCTGATCTTCTCTCGCTCTGCTTCAGGATCAGCTTTGATGTGAAGGATTTTAATCCTCTGTTACTCCCACACACAAGCAGATTCAGCTTCACACCCTCTGGAATGGTGACAAAGGAATAAACTGCTAATACTGCATTCACATCATGTCAGAATTACTGCAGTCTGCCAACAAAAAGCATTAACAAACTCTGATACTTGCCATAGAGGCTGTCAGTAAGTACTGCAGGGTGCCCAAACTTGTTTCGGGCCCTTTGCCTTTTTTGTCATTTTAAAACTGTAAACTATGGTAATAAAAAAAAAAGTAATCTTGCTTAAAACATTAAAATACTAACTTCATCTTTAACGTCTTGCCTTTTAGAAATCTGATCATCTCTGATTGACAGGAACAGAAAATTTGACATGGGGTGCCTAAACTTTTGCACAGTAACACAATTTCTGTTGCTTTAATTCAGTTGTCCAGCACATTGAATTTTGAATCTCATTGCAATGCAGTGATATTGCTAATATACAGTAGCAAGCCATATACTGTATCAACTTGAATCAAAGTGATGGTCCATCTAAAGTAATATAGTGTTTTTCAGGTGTTTGGGACTGCCCAAATCAGTTACCTGACATGAATCCCACTGATCTTACATTTTACTTTTTAAAAAAAAGACTGAAGGTAAAAAGAAAACCGCTGGAGTTAAAACTGGCAGTAGAAGTAGCAGAGCATCACAACAACGGAAGTAAGTTACTTGAGGCTGGAATACATATTGTATCTTTAGAAAGAATGAACGGCTCACTCAACACAAAAGACACTTGCACTGCTTTAGCGTGACTGCTCTCTTGTATGTCAACTGTTTTTACCGGAACACTTCCGGCTACAACGTAACACTGCATTCTGGGAGATGTAGTTAAATAAACAACGTTAACAAAATACACAACAATACACTACACGACTTAAAATCTGAAGAGACTTTAAAACACTGGGTAAAAATCTGATCAAAAGTCTTGTAGTGCATTTCAACGTTTAGGGTCTGGCGCTGTCTAGAGATTACAGACTTTAGCCAGTCATTAATTACTAAATTTTCAACAATTTTACTCACAAAAAAAAAGGTTCAAGACGATCATTTTGATTCCATCTTTCTCCTTTTGGTAAGCTTGGTAGCTTATGTATAAAAGGGTATTTATTCATGTGTGGTTGACTAAGTATAGATGTACTGCACTGTAAATAACCTGTAGGTTTATTGCTGTATTCTCACAAAGGTTCTTTTTTCAGAGAAATAAATGAATGCACTCACCCAGTGTCTTGATCTTTTTCTGCAACTCTTTGATTTCATTTTCTCTCACTCTCAATTTCTCCTCTAGTTCATGTCTGACTTTCTTCTCTGGAGCTTTTATGTGCATCTGAAGAGAATAGGGTTCAATCTTCATGCTGTCTATACAATCTAACAGCTTTGAGATCTGTTGTGAGTTTCTCTGGTCCTTTAACCCCATCACACTGTACCAGCTCCCATAGAGACTCACAATCCTCTGAGATTCTGTGGATTCTACAAAATCTAACACACTTCTGTCAACAGTGAGTTCAGTGATGAAAAGCACCATGAAGTGCTCTTGTGAGTAAAATATTCCTTTAATCTTCTCCATTTCTGCTCTGTCTTCATTAGTGAGTGGAGTGACAGGAGTAACGAGGATGAAAAGATGAACTCCAGGATCACAGAGAGACAAACAGTGGAAAGTCTCCCGCATCACTTCCTCCTCTGAGAGCTGAGTGAGAGCTGGAAGCTCTATTACACTGATCTGCCGTCCATGAATCGTTCCCTCTTTCTTCACAAACACATTGCTCCTCTCTTTCTGAGGTTTACTCGTTGCCCCTCTAAACATTCTAGACACTGAGTTCTTGAGTGTTGGATTATTTCCACACAGCACAATGTTCAGCTTTGCTTTTCCTGTAGTCGTCACTGAAACAATATTTAGAAACCATAGATTTAGTTCAGCTTTGCTACCAAATGTATACTTCATTAAACAACATTATATTATTATATTAGATTACAATACGATCTTTTATCAACTTCAATGCAATAATTTACAGACTTTCCACTCTCTATGTATGAATATCTGACACATACATACAATACAGTCTGCACTCAAACCACTGCTTTTAGAGGAATAGTTCACCCAAAACTGACAATTACATTATCATTTACTCACTTCAAAAGTGGAAAGATGATTTTACCATCAAGCTCCAAAATAAATAAAAAAAGAAAAACATGAATGAACCCTAAAAGGATTCAGTCAATGTCTTAATATGCTATTCAAAAATATCTACACTTTTGTTCGAAGTTTTTCAACCAAAACAAAACAGATCAGTTAAAAGAAACAGTATTTTCTCTGTCATTTACAGTCTCTACTACTGCACAGTAACTATAAAAGGACAAAACAGTAGTTCATGATCATATTCTTAGAGGTATTACCCAGAAAGAAAATATTTGACAAACCTCTTCCATCACGTGCTGTTTCTGTGCTCTCTTTGAGATCAGAATCCTTCTTTATCTCGTCTCCTCTGACTGAAGCTCCAGATCTGCTCAGATCTTCCTCCACTGATGATCCATCACCCTCATGCGTGTCACAGATGAGACATTCTTTGTGTTCTTTCTTGAGTATCTCCTCTATTTTTCTGAAAAACTCAGATCGCGATCCTGGGTTTGTTGCATCAAACTGTAGATGTCCTCCTCCACACTCCTTTATTAAATCATGAATAGCGATATTCCTATATCTGAATATGAATCTGTGTGTCTCTTCATCAGTAGTCAGCACTATAGTGTGTTTCATGGCCTGCTCACTGAAGAGGTTCAGCACATATTTCACTCTGTGTCTGTCGTTCTCAGTGAAGTCATTATACTGCATTACGAGTACAAACACATGAGGTCCTGGAGCAGACAGAGACACACACTCTCTCACTGCCTCTATTATCTGATGCTCTGAGAGATTCGGCTGGAGCAGGTGAGTGTTGATGACTGAGATGTGTCTCCCCTCCCCTTTTCCACTGATTCTCACACTGTGCTGCTGTAAATAAGATGCAGCTTCACTGTTAAATACTGTTGTACCCAGTATACTGTTTGCCACCCGTCTGTTTTCTGATCCATTCTTTCCTATCAGCACAATCCTCAGATCACTCACTGCAAAAGAGCACAGACACACACACAATGCAATAAAACAGCGCCGAAAAATCTCATATTAAAAATCCTATAGAATTAGCAGATTTTACACAGGACACAATAGCAATGTTAAAAAGTAACCCTTTCAGAAGCTTTAGGAACATCTACGAAAGATGGACATTTGTTTCATACTGAAGAGTTATCATTAATAATTTTATTGATTTACTACTGGGATGATTGTTACTTTTATGAATTTTATACACTTTGTTCTCTAATAATTAAAGAACGGCAGCTGCATAGAGCCCCGTGATTCACTAACACTGATTCAGTACAGTAACCAGTACAGTAGGCTCTCCGTGGGCCTCTAACATTTCTCTGTAACCAGTTTGAAAATCAGTTTAGGGCTCTCAATGTGCTAGTCCTCAGTTAACAGACTGATCTCACAGGAGATCACCAACAGGAGGAGGAGTTTTGGCCATTTTTCGCTCTACGCTCTAGGTATTCTGTATCAAAAGAACTGTATAGTGTCTGACTCGAATGAGATCTCAGCTATGATACTTTTCAATGAATGACAACTTATGCTTCTGTTTGGATGAGTTTTATGATACTTTTATGGTGGCCTTCATCATTTTTGGAGAATGGGGGTGAAAATCAGTGTCAACTTTGATTTTATGAAAAAGAGCATCTTTCATTAAAAACAAATAAATACAGTTCTATATAAAAAAATACAGTACTATATGAATAATTTCCATATGCTGCTTCAGAATTATATTCATTGTGAAATGTGCTTTACAGATAAATCTGAATTTAATGTTTTAGTTCAATGCTGTTTTATTTTTATTACTTTATTTTATTTTAATGTGGGTGGAAAAAGTAACTTAATATGATATAATATTCTTAAATTTGCTTTGGCTTTACGGCAGCAATAAAAACAAAAGTTAAAGGTTAAATTATCACATAATTTTAAAAAATAATAATTTATGTTTATACTTATAATATGATGCCTAATATTTTCTTACACAACATAAGTTGGTCTTTTTCTACATGTAAATATATAGCTGATTTTATAACTTAGAAAGGTATTTATTACTCCTGCAAGGGTGTTATTATATTTGGGGGTCTTTCTCATCAGACAGTTCAGAAAACTGCTGGTCTGCAGTGCGTTCTGTCTCTCACACACACAAGGAGACATTTAAACACAAGTGACTTTATCAATAAAACAGTTTTGGGAAAGCCGCACATATGCGAGAAATTCCCATTCACAGTTTTTTAACATTATACATTAAAAAATCAAATCTCAGCATACTGGGAATAATCATTATTTTCATTTTTGGGTGAACTTATACTTTAACCGTTACAAACTGAATATTACAACACATAAATGCATCAATGCCAGTGCTTTAATTGACTTACTGTTAGGACGCTGATGAACTGGACTGTGTCTGTCTGCTGCTGCTGGAGAGAAAAATCACACACACACATGAAGAGAAAACAGATGGGTTAGCCATTATAAATTATTTTAAAAAGCACACATGCACGTGACTTCACAATGTTTGCCATTACTAATGTAACTGATTGAGTACAGAACAGTGTGCTGATGATATATACAGATCAACACTAATTTAATTGGTTCTACTGTCAAAATTACACTTAAACTCATGCTTACTGCAATGCTCTATAGCCTACATCAAAATATTAATAAACAGGCTGTTGCCACAAAACAACAAAGATATCACAGACTAATAAAAGAAACCTCACGTAGAAGTTTCTTCCTGGTGTTCAACGACACGATTAAACAAATGTAAGAGCGCAGTGAAATATCTTTTAATAAACTAAACGAGTCTTCCGCTTGCTAATGTCTCATAAATACTTCATAAATCATCGAGGAAACGTTGCTGCATGTATTCGTATCGTATTTGATTCTTACCTGACGCCATTTTCACAGCAAGACAAACATCGAAATCGAAAGAGAAACACTGAGAGAGCTGACCTGCGCCCCCGGAGACTGAGACAAAAAATTATTTCATATTTATTGAAATTACATTTTCTGCGTCCATTTATTTTCCTTCTTTAACCCAGAAATGAAACACTGAAGATGCGGTTTCTTCTTCAGTTGTCCTCATGAATACAATAAGCAGATGCAAACTCATAGAAATGTATTTTTAATATAAATAAATGGTCATTAATTTAGATGCAGACGCGCTTCTGTGTCTTTGCGTGAGTCCGCCAGAAGGTGGCGCTATAATGATGACTAACTGGATCTGGATGTGTTTTGCACATTATACTTGTACACAGCATGACTTTAACTTGACACTTGAAGAAGCTGGGTAAACTTCATTTTCTATTCATCTATTAGATTGTACAAAATTACATTTCTAAACTCTAAACCCTTTAAGTCGAGCGTTCATCTTTGAAACAAAACCTAAGATACTTTAATGAAGCCGGAGAGATTTGTGTCCATCCAAATAAACCCCAGAAGAACACGTTGCATGTTTTATTTTGAAATGGGGGAAGTGTAAAATTACAGTAACAGTACAAATGCACACTACGATGCTTCATATCTATAATAATAACACCGAGTCACATTAAAATCGAGTTCTTGCAGGACAGATTATTTGCCTGATACACATCACAGGGCTGAAGAAAAGTATTTCACAGGTTTTGTTGAAACCTAAGGTTTTAACATCACAAATAAAACCTATGTAAGTGCACTTAAACGAAGTTACTGTGTGAGGTTAAGGGTGAATAATCAGGCTGCTGAAATGCAGATGAACACTATTAATACTGTGAGGGTTTAAAGCTTCACGCTCCTCGTCTTCCTCTGGTTTGGCACCCTGGTCTCGGCTGGTCTGGGGTCAGTTGAGCTGCTGCTCAGAGTCGATGTCTGTGTAGATATTACTGACGATGTGAGTCAGATCCAGACTCTGAGTCAGCATCACCGACAGAACCTCGTCCGCCTGGATGCCCTCGATGAACTCATCCAGAGACAGCTCGCCTGAACACACACACACACATATGTACATCACACCGCTTCATTTGCATATTTAAATAGCATAGATACACAGATTACCGTCTCCGTTAACGTCGATCTTGTTAAACACCATGTCGGTCAACTCCTCCGCGGAAAACTCCTGCTCTACTCCGTTAATGGCTTCAATGGCCTGGAGCCGAAAAACATCAACAACAAAAGACAAAAGTGAGTTCTGTGGCAGAGAGAAACACTGATTTAAAGGGACAGTTCATCTAAAAATGAAGCTCCTGTCATCCTTTCTCACTCACAAGTAGTTCTTCCAAACCTGTAAGAAGATGTTTTGACGAACGTTGGGAACCAAACGGTTGACGGCAGCCACCATAACTACGGGAGGAGAAAAAAAATACTATAGAAGCCAATGGGTGCCGTCAGCTGTTTGGCTCCCAACATCATCTTTTGTGTTCAACAGAAGCTCATACAGGTTTAGAACAACTAGATGGTGAGAAATGATGACGGTTTGCATGTTTGGGTGAACTATGCACAGTTTAATGTGGATTCTGTGACTCCAGCAGGTGGCGCTGAAGAGAAACACACACTGATTTAAAGGGACAGTTCATCTAAAAATGAAACTCCTGTCCAGCATCACCGACAGAACCTCGTCCGCCTGGATGCCCTCGATGAACTCATCCAGAGACAGCTCGCCTGAACACACACACACACATATGTACATCACACCGCTTCATTTGCATATTTAAATAGCATAGATACACAGATTACCGTCTCCGTTAACGTCGATCTTGTTAAACACCATGTCGGTCAACTCCTCCGCGGAAAACTCCTGCTCTACTCCGTTAATGGCTTCAATGGCCTGGAGCCGAAAAACATCAACAACAAAAGACAAAAGTGAGTTCTGTGGCAGAAGAGAAACACTGATTTAAAGGGACAGTTCATCTAAAAATGAAGCTCCTGTCATCCTTTCTCACTCACAAGTAGTTCTTCCAAACCTGTAAGAAGATGTTTTGAAGAACGTTGGGAACCAAACAGTTGACGGCAGCCAACATAAGTATGGGAGAAAAAAAAAATACTATAGAAGCCAATGGGTGCCGTCAGCTGTTTGGCTCCCAACATCATCTTTTGTGTTCAACAGAAGCTCATACAGGTTTAGAACAACTAGATGGTGAGAAATGATGACGGTTTGCATGTTTGGGTGAACTATGCACAGTTTAATGTGGATTCTGTGACTCCAGCAGGTGGCGCTGAAGAGAAACACACACTGATTTAAAGGGACAGTTCATCTAAAAATGAAACTCCTGTCATCCTTTCTCACTCACTCTCAAGTAGTTCTTCCAAACCTGTAAGAAGATGTTTTGAAGAACGTTGGAAACCAAACAGTTGACGGCAGCCACCATAAATACGGGAGAAGAAAAAAAATACTATGGAAGCCAATAGGTGCCGTCAGCTGTTTGGCTCCCAACATCATCTTTTGTGTTCAACAGAAGCTCATACAGGTTTGGAACAACTTTAGGGTGAGAAATGATGAGGGGTTGCATGTTTGGGTGAACTATGCACGGTTTAATGTGTGACTCCAGCAGGTGGCGCTGAAGAGAAACACAGACGCCACTGATTTAAAGGGACAGTTCATCTAAAAATTAAACTCCTGTCATCCTTTCTCACTCTCAAGTAGTTCTTCCAAACCTGTAAGAAGATGTTTTGAAGAACGTTGGGAACCAAACAGTTGACAGCAGCCAACATAAGTATGGGAGGGAAAGAAAAATACTATAGAAGCCAATGGGTGCCGTCAGCTGTTTGGCTCCCAACATCTTCTTTTGTGTTCAACAGAAGCTCATACAGGTTTGGAACAACTTGAGGGTGAGAAATGATGACGGGTTGCATGTTTGGGTGAACTATGCACGGTTTAATGTGTGACTCCAGCAGGTGGCGCTGAAGAGAAACACAGACGCCACTGAATTCATCAGGATACCTTGAAGATGAGCAGCAGCTCCTCGCGGTCGATGCAGCCGCTGCCGTCCACGTCGAACAGCTTGAAGTACCAGCGCAGTTTCTGCTGAACGCCACCCTTCAGAACCAAACTCAGAGCCGCCACGTACTCCATGAAATCAATGCAGCCGTCCTGATGACAACATGTAATAATACATAACCAATTACGATACTGCCAACAGTTACGATCTGTTATGGATGCAAGTAAAGTGTCTAAGGCTTCAAATAACTTTTGTGGCAATGTCAAAATATGGGAGAAGTAATGTTCCATCGTTATTCAGCATAATATTATGTAAGAATAAAACGACATACTTATTCTGACCTGTACTTATTTATATATGCAAAAGAATAGGTGATCATACTAAATTATTATTATGTTTTAAATTATTAAAAACTTTTTGCTGACAAATGGGTAAAACCTAGTGGCTAGAAGGAAAGTCTGTCTGCCTGTCTGTCTGTCTATCTATCTTTCTGTCTGTCTGTCTGTCTGTCTGTCT